TATTAATAAAGTTTTGATGATAATATTTTAAATCAATCACATTTATTTCTTTAAGAAATCCCAATTTCTATATTTGTGAAAGTGGTGAGCTTGTACAACACGAAAAAGATAAAGGAAATAAAAATTGAAGCTGTCTAAACGTTGTTGAAAACTATGGCTTAACTTGAGGATTAGATGTGCACTACACACGTTGGTCCCATATTTGTAACATGATAATTAAATGTGTGAAAGGCATCTTTTGTTTAAGGCAGCACTCAAAGCAGTTGGTCATATAATATTATTAAGTTGTAAGTTCAACGGACATCTAAGCCAAACAAATTATGTCTTCATGCTATATTTTTTATTATCATGTATTAATGTTTTTCAAACTCCCAAGTTTAATTACTCAACAATCTCACTTCCTCAAATATTTTATTTATTAAATTAGAATGTGTGAAATACGGTTATTGAAAAATTATTATTTTTTATCAAAAAAATGTAGTGTATACTCGAGCTATATAAAAGGAGGTATGAATGCAGTATTATAGTAACAAGGTTTCAAACAATTTAATTACTTCTTGATATCTAACTAACTGAGGAAAGAATTCACGCGGCAATTGAAATAATAAAAACAGTTTTAAATTACGGACATGACTATCAATAAATTTTCAATAAAAAAAAGTGAAACTCTTAGGCGGGATAATTTCACCAAACGCTATGTTATTTACAGAAAACTGTTTTATAAACTATCTCACTTAACGATGTGATACATCAAAATAGTGTTTTAACGCAGTCAAAATTCTAAAGCCTCTCTCAGATGCGCTGCTTACAGAGCCAAAAAGCTAATTCATATAACATTTAGTTTTTGATTCAAACAGTTAACATTAAACTCGACTAAAATAGTTAACAGCTAATTTTACCGAATAGATCCTGTATATTTTATATATTTAAACAAATTCATATATCTCGAACTAATAGGTTAAACAGCTAATTTTACCGAATAGATCCTGTAGTATTTTTATATATTTAACAAATTCATATTATATACTTATATAAATATATATATATATATAGAGATGAGAGAGAGAGAGAGAGAGATGAGACGGAGGAGAAGATGAGAGAGAGAGGAGAGAGAGGAGAAGAGATGGAGAGAGAAGAGAGACGAGGAGAGAGAGAGAGAGAGAGAGAGTGCGTGTTTGCATTTGCCATTAGTAAAAGTTAAAGGAAACCAGTACAGCACAGGAAATTAATCAAATAAAAATAATTAAAAAAATTCACTTATAGTTAGTCAATTTTTATTATTAAACTCTAGCTGTTTTCAAAAAAATAACTTATTTAAAATATTTTTCAGATTCTTATATTTATAGTTCTGAAAAATCATAGAATGCAAAATATTTTTTTATTAAAAAGACCAAGTCATTTAAAAAATAACTCCAGCATATCAAAACATAACTTAATGATAAGTACATATATAGCTTGACAATAGAATCAGATTTGAATCTTCTGTCATAATACTCAAAAATAACAACCGAATTCTTTGAGAATAATATTTTAAATCTTAAATAATTCAAAATTTTCTTCGTAAAGGATTGATTAAGGAGAGTTGGAATCTAGTTTCTTAATTCTTTTTTAGGTTTATTAATAAAATTTTAAATTAAAAAAAGCCAATCTTTGAAATCTTTGAGAATAAGTCATACAAATTTGTAATTAATGTTATAGGTCAGAACCTTATTTTTCAAAAGAGAAAAATAGAAAACCATCATAGTAATTTTATTCTAAATCTTTATATGTGAATTTTTTTTTAGTATTAAAAGAGGAAATTCGCATCCAAATCTATTGTCAAATCATATAGACAATGGCCTAGTCGTGCAAACCTTTATATGTAAATTAATTCCAGCTAGATGTTTACAGGAATTCAGCAGAACCGAACGAACATTAATGAGAGCAAGGACCTTTTCGAAAGTCCTAGTAAAAGATAAGAGGTTATAATATTTGTTTCTTTATTTTGGGTTAGGCAGTGATCCATCGTCCATCATATAATTCACGTGACTCACGTCTAGAATAGAATACAAAGGAACTATTAGTCTTATCAATAGAAGAAGCTAGCTGGTGCCTTGTGGTGGCTAGGGACTGTTTGGTTTATCTTAAATAATACTTTAGAGCAGAGAAGACTCTATCTCTCTTTTTGACTCGCTCTTCAAATATTGCTGCGCCCTACTCCACCACTTTCTTTTTAATTAATTTATTTATTTCACACATTATTGTGTCATTTTACATGGGATAATATTCAAAATTATATATACTAACGGAGTTAGCCCCATAAATTAATTCAAAATTAATTATCAAATGTATAAATGCTCATAAATTTCTTGAAACATTACATTAGCAGAATTCAGCATTTTCAAGCAAAATCGCTTTTTAGTAAAGTAAATATCTAGAAAAGTAATTTTAAAAATATTGAATTATTATGTTGTATGGAAAATAAAAATTTTTTTAGGGTATTAGTGTTATTATATTTTTTAATATCTTATTTTTTATATAAATTTAATTTTATCATTTCTTCAGATGGAGGATTTTTTTTTTTTTTATGTACGTAAAAAATAGAGAGAATCCCCACATCGAAATATAATTTTTATATCAAATAAACATTTATTTTTTAATTTTTCTCCGAAATTTCAGTAACCAAATACTCTGTAACTGACAAACTTGATTGATAATACCTGAAACAGTACAAGTAAAAAAAGAAATTACATAACATTTTAGTTCCATTTCTAATGATTTAAAAATATAACTGGTAAGGGACAGTTAATTTATTCGGACTTAATTTTTTGAAGGATGAATAGTTTATTGAGCTGATTGATTAATAATAAATATTAAGAATTGATTGTTTAATGATTAAAAATTAATATATGGTGTATTTTATAATTATTAGGATGATTTTATTTGTTTAATAAATAAAAATAACTCGCTAAAAGACTATGGAAAGAAACTATTTCATTCAATAAAATTTGATTTCTAAATTCAAATAATTAGTATAAATAAATTTATTTCATTAAACTAAATGCCGAATAAGTTATGAATAAAAAAAACTAAATCTCCCAATTTTTCAAAAAATTCTAACTTTTCTCAATTTTGAGCGAGAAGATATTACCTCGGTTCCATAATATTTATTATATTTGAAAAAATAGTTTATTTCAAAATACTTATCATATATGTGGTTTCAAGAAATAATAAATTTTTTTTTCATATTTACTCTTTGCATGTGACCAATAATTATTATTTTAATTCAATAATTTTCTTAGAAAATTAGTATTAAATTAATTCTTAGAAAATTAGTATTAAATTAAAATAATATTAATTAAATTTTACTTCATAATTTATTTATAAATTTAAATTTAATAATTTTAAGGAAATGGTAAATTGAAATGTGGATAATTAATTTACTCAATAATTTATTATAAATAAATTTAATAATTTTTTAAGAAATGTAAAATTTGAAATGTGATAAAATACTACTTAATATGCCTATAGATTCAATTTAAAGCTTGGACTAAAATTATATCACTTTTTCATCTGTATATGAATATACTGTAACACTTATATCTAATTGTTTTTATGGATTAAAAAATGGATATGTAAATTATAAATTTATAATGCGATCCACGACCGATGAGATGACACGCTAAAGCCTAAGGTTGTCCTTAAAAAAATCAAAAATAGAAAAGAGCAAGAAAAACGAAATAATATTAAATCCAGTTAAAGTCAAGTCATGAAACTCTAGACAGTTTACCACAAAAGCCAAGGGATTCGGTCCACACGAGCCGACGGGTCAACCCTATTAAGTCGGTTCGAACCCGGGAGAGAGCTGGATTACGTGTCAAAAAGTACAAAAAAAACTTGTTAGGATCGTAGGCTCATAACACGGACGTCTGGCCCACAAAAATATATATTAATACATTTTTATTTTTATAAAGAAAATGTGGGCCTCATCTTATCGGAATCGGTTGACTGAGGCAACCCTTTTTCATAGAGCTAGGAGCGGCGGGCTAATCGGGGCGGTGAATCTTTGGATGGAACGCGTCCATCTCCGGTTTGGTCCCACATTTTGACAAAACAAAATCAAACTATTTTCCTTCACTTGGGCCCCACCGCTACATCTCCCTCTCTCTCTCTTTCTCTCTTTCTAGTTTCTACACTGACTATAGCCTCACGGCTCCACCAGAGAGAGAAGATCCAGAGGGAAAGCCCTTATCCTACTTTTATATATTTCATTTATAATCACCGCTCGTTATTTTGACCAATCAAATCAGGAAAGAAATGAGAAATTGGGATCTCCAAACAACAAATTTTATTAAGTTCAAACTATTTTCATGTTGGACCCTCTTATTACTTTTCCTTCTTCAAATTCAACACTAGAGTATTATTTATATAATGGCTTGTTAAGTAGTTTATATATATTTTTATACACAATAAAAAATTTATTGTATTCATTAAACCAAAATATTTTAGTAGTACCATAGTTTTATTGTTTACCAAATTCAATTAAAATTAAAATATTCAATATAAAAATTAAAATTTACTGTATATTATATGAGATGTACCGCTGGATCAATAAATTTTTACAATGTCATTTATTTAAACTTTCATAACATAATTATATAACCGCTTTTATATAAATAGATTAAAGCCGCTGCATTCATTTATAAAATATAATTTTATTAAATTACTTAATAAAATATATAAAAATGGTGCACTACCAAAAAAAAAATGTAAAATTGACTTATTCCATAAGAAGGACTAAAAGAGTTAAAAGAGTATATAAAGAAAACTGAAAAGAAATTGAAAAGAAAAGGTACAATAGTAGTACTAGTCCCTAAATTTTCTTAAGGTAAAATAGTCCTTATACAAACATATACTCCTTCCTATTATTTTATTATTATTATTATTATTTAATTAATTATTTACTTGATAACACATAAGCCACACACCACCACTATTTAGTACTAGTGTTCGGTCTTCTCTTCTTAGGTCTCATCCTCCCTTTTTATTGCCGAGTCCATTGCACCGTTTAAAGACTTACACACCCTAACTTCTCTCTCTTCTCTCTCCTCTTTTTCTTGATTTATGGCCAAAGGAAGAAGTGGACTCTTCATTGATTCAGATCTAATCACTTCTGGTTTCTTCATACACAACCCAACAGTGCTCAATTCTTTTCCTGATCAACAAATCTTCAATTCTAATAACAACACAAAACTTACTTTCATGGATTCTTCTACTGCAGCAACTGTTCCTGCTTCTTCTACAACTACTACTACTATTCAATTTCCTGTCAATCTTAACCATGATGCTAACGATGATCATCATCATCATAATCATCATGCTTCTTTACCGTCTGATGAAAAACGGACGGTTATCGATGAAATGGACTTCTTTGCTGAGAAAGACGATGTTAAACCGACGAACATCACTTCTCATCATCCTAAAAGTCCTACCAGATTGGATTTCGACGTTAACGTAAGTTAATTACCAATTTCAAATTTTAATTTTAAAATTTTAAATTTTTTTTGATTTTTTTTTTTTTTTGGTTTTTGTATGCAGACTGGTTTGAATCTTCACATTACTAATACTAGCAGTGATCAATCAATGGTAGACGATGGAATTTCATCAAATATGGATGAAAAAAGAAGTAAAAATGAGGTAATAAATTATTTTTCCTTTTTTTATATTTAAAAACTGTCAATAATACTTTTTTTTTTTTTTTAAATTTTATGGTGTATATATTGAATTTTTGCAGTTAGCAGTTTTACAAGCAGAGCTAGAGAGAACAAAAATGGAGAATCTAAGATTAAGAGACATGTTAAATCAGGTTACCAACAATTACAACGCGTTACAGATGCGTTTAATTACAATAATGCAAAACCGAAAGGTTGAAGATAATAATGAAGATGGAGATGCCTTAGAAACAAAAGTTGGAAATAAGAAACACGCCGGAAATGGAGCAAAGGTTGTTCCCAGACAGTTTATGGATCTCGGTTTGGCCGCTGCTGCAACTGGTGGCGGCGGAGGCGGCGGCGGCGGTGATACTGATGAGCTTTCTTTATCTTCATCGGAAGGAAGAAGTCGTGACCGGTCAAGGTCGCCGGCAAATAATGTAGAGAATAGAAGTAATGAAGATGGAATGGTGTTTGATCAAGAGAAAAAGGGTACGATCGGAAGAGAAGAAAGTCCAGATCAAGGGTCTCAAGATTGGGGTTCTAATAAGGTCGGCAGATTTAATTCATCAAAAAATAATGTTGATCAAACTGAAGCTACAATCAGGAAGGCTCGTGTATCGGTCCGAGCTCGATCCGAAGCTCCTATGGTAATATTAATAATTGATTGTTTGATTGATTTGGATTTGGATTTTAATTAATATTACTTGTTGTTTAGTAATTCTTTTTGTTTGTTTCTTCTATTAGATAACTGATGGATGTCAATGGCGAAAGTATGGACAGAAGATGGCTAAAGGGAATCCATGTCCTCGAGCTTATTATCGGTGCACTATGGCTGCAGGTTGCCCAGTTAGAAAACAGGTATATGTAACTTCTTGTTTTTCTCTCTCTTCGGTGTGCCAATTTCCATATCCAAAACTCAAATCCCGAACAACTCAAATCTAAGACTTTTGGTTGAAGGAAAAGAGTCTCAATCGCTCATCCCGACCAAAGTTGAAATTTTTATTAATCTTAATATTTGGCATCGAACATGTATAGGTACAAAGATGTGCAGAAGATCGAACTATCCTAATAACAACATATGAGGGGAACCACAACCATCCATTGCCACCAGCAGCAATGGCAATGGCATCAACAACATCTTCAGCGGCAAGAATGTTACTATCAGGATCAATGTCAAGTGCAGATGGACTAATGAACCCAAATTTCTTAACAAGAACTTTGTTACCATGTTCATCTAGCATGGCAACCATATCAGCTTCAGCTCCATTTCCTACTGTTACATTAGATTTAACACAAAATCCAAACCCAAACCCTTTACAATTTCAAAGGCAACAAACTCAATTTCAAGTCCCATTCCCAAATCCACAACAAAATTATCCCAATGCAGCTAACCCAGCAGCTTTGTTGCCTCAGATATTTGGACAAGCATTATACAACCAATCGAAATTTTCTGGGTTGCAAATGTCTCAAGACATGGAAGGTAATAACAGTAACAGTAATAATAAATTAGGACACCAATCATCTCATTAAATTCAAAGTAAAAGGAAGTAGAGCTAGGTTAGAATTTACTGAAAAACCTAGGCGAAAAAATTTAAATTTATTAAGAGCTCATTCTATTGTTATACCAAAAAGACGACTAATTAAATAGTCCTTTGGACCAGTAGCCCGCACTTCTGGGTTTCCAGCCTATATATCAATACTGTTTACAAAAACAGTTAAATTGTAAACTCTCTAATAAAATCTAAAGACCAAGGACTAATATAGATTATGTGCAGATCACCCACATGCATTTTGGAATCGTAAACAACACATAGTAGATTTACCCTATGAAAAGGACTTTGATGAAAAGTCCGTTACTACTAAAGCCCTGTTAAAGGCTTTCTTCTCTTCTCCCTCCACAATCTGACTTAGTTCTGGGGATCCCAGGCTAAGGTTGCAGGAACCCTCAACTACAAAGAAATAATATTAATTTTATGTGGTTAACAATACCATTAGTATAGAGTCCACCCAGATTCGGAGTAACTTTTTGGCTGGTGGCAAATGCTCTGCACGAACGTATCTTATGTAATTAAAAAAGCTGGAGATAAGAAAAGAAGGAGTCCCTAGATTAGAATAATTTAAATACTATAAACCACTAAGATAACAATTTACAGAGCTCCATTCAATTAAAATAATAAATGGAGGACAACTCAACGAATCTATCCATCTCCAGCACTAAGCAATGCAGCCTAATAAAAAAGATTTATTAAGAAACAATATTAAGTGCATCAAGCAAATTATTTAGTTTTGAACAGTAAAAAATATTATGGAAGGAGTCTAGGTGGAGTTGGAAACAAATTCCTCAAGATCATTTGCCTTAATGAGGATTAACATTCAAAACTAGCGTTTCCCACATATTCCCTAATGTCGGTCATAGTTCAGCAAATGGAAGGCTAAGCTTGTCAATGCCACTTATTTTGGCAAGATTAAAAAAATGCTCCTTTCTGAGGTTGATTCAGAGGACCTTTACACTTCACATGTAGCAGCTATTGATTGAGGTACTAGTTCTAGACCTCACCACTTCAACATCTTATAATTGGTGTTGTGTGACTTTGGTCACCCAAACATTATAAGTATCTACTATAATATTGAAGTAATGTATCTAAATCTAGTTACTCATCTCAGCCTCATACAAACCTTAGAACATACCTTTAGGGAGTAATGCCAATTCCAAAAGGAACTATATATAAAACACAACAATAACATCTGAGCATAACATATCGGTAAGAAATAAATGAATCAATGGCATAGAGCATGAGATAAAACATGCTAAAAAACACAAAAATATACCGGAGCTATTTCAGAACTAAAGGGGATAGGTGGCTGAATAATTGTACAATAGAAGCAAGTTTTGTTTTCTTTTTTCTTTTTCTTTCTTTCTTCTTCTTCTTGTTTATTATTTCCAGTTTTTTTTTCTCATTGCATTAAGGTCGGAGAACTGAGCGCTATGTATTTGGGGGGTCCTAAAGTACTCCTGATTTTTGAGTTTTTAAATCTATTATAATACTACCCTAACCTCACACTCTGTTTTCTCTTTGTGTGGTGAAATGTTCAACTACTTTATTGTTCTAATTAGTATTTTTCCAAACCTGAATTGGCTGAATTAAAACCGTTTTACATGATATGGGCTAAAAGGAAAATGAATACTAGAAAGGACTCCATTATAATATATATATTATAATATAATGGACAGACTACCTCAAGCACACTACCAAATCATAGTAAAATAAAAAAATAAAAAATACTATTAGTCAATAAGAAATCCATTTAATCTTTATATCCTCATCATTCCAAAGCAGCATTCATAAGATTAGTTTGATATAACTGTAATGACTTCAGATATTGTGTAGGATACTATTATATAATATATATAGGTAGGTATATTTGTATAAAATACTAAATGTTATACATCTATTAGTGTATAAGAACGCATTATTCTTGTTGTATACGGTCTGTGAATTGTCGATTAGGAACCAAACTCAAATAAATATGTTCTTACTATTAAAAAAAGGAGATTCTAAGTATAGTAATTTGCATCAATAAATTCAATTTCTGATTTATTTAAATCAAAAATTTTACTTCGTATTGATTGTAAATCATTGTAAATCTGCAAAAGATGTTTTACAAAAAGATGTAAAAAATCTGGCTTCTAAACAAATTTTTGCTAGATGGCAAGCTTTACTTAGTATATTTGAAAATTTTGCATAAAGAAAAAGATAAAATTATATTATCATCATCACCTTCATCATCACTGACTCGCGAATTCTTACAGAACGATGGGCAGGAAAAAGGATAAGGGCAAAGCCCCTAAAGAAGAACCTGAATCACCCACTAAAGCTCTATCTGAGCATTCAGAAGATTTACCTAAAACCCTAAAGAAAATAGATTTTTCTAATACAACGATGGAACCACATATTGAACAACTTAGTCAATCCCCTGAAGTGTTAAAGGCGTTACAAAGTATAGCGTCCTCTTCCACAGAGGCGCCAGGTATGTCTTCTACACCTAAAGCGATCGGACCCGTTCATGGTACGGCTAGTCTGTCTTAAAACGATAAACAGTAACTATTTTTTGAAAAGAATCTAAACAGTACTTGTCTAAGTATTGATATATAGGCTGGAAACCCAGGATTGCGGGCTACTGGTCCAAAGGACTATTTAATTAGTCATATCATTGGTATAATAACGCCACGTATCATACTTAATTTGTATGTTGATTCTGAGGTAAATGAATTTTATAAGTGTTCATATAAATCCATTAAATCATAGTATGAGCCGATTGATTACTTGTGATGTGATTATAATGTGCCTTGTTTCTAAGCGAAATTGGGATGAAGTGAGTCATTATGGAATTGTGAGGATGGTCCAGGACCATTAGCCGTGTATGGGAGATCGGCGCCGTAGTGTGCATCTGATGAAATATGATTTGAATGATATGGAAAACCATAGGGTGGCCTCCTGTTGGTAATAATAAGAAAAGAGAGAATAGAAAAACAATAAGAGAACAGGTCAAGTGAGGATTATACCGGTTGGCCATGTATGGGGATTAGCTCCCTGGTGTACACGTATAAGAAGACAGGCCATGTGCGACGAGGGGTTATCAGGGGTTTTCTGAAGCCACTGACCAATCTCCATTTGATGTAATTACTTGAAGATAATATCTCTGAAGATGTTGATACCGTGACATATGCTTGATTAATTGTGTTTAATATACAAATTTGGAAAGCATTTCGTGTGACTGTTTGGGTTATGCACTATTTATTATTATTCAATGAGTTTGTAAAACTCACCCCTTTTCTTTAAATTTTTCCCCATAAGGTAGACATTTTGTTTATTGTATGGCCTTCTTCACGCCATGGGTATATCAATGGTATTTGGACACTCAGTATGCCGTAGGAACTTATCAAATTCCTACATTGGTAAAACGACACAAAATTAAATGGTGGGGATCGTTCAAAAACTCTACCACTGAACTTAAAATTGATCAATGGATCCGTAATAAATTGTCACAAGTTTCTCCATTAACCTATGCGACTACTCTTACTTTAAAGGATCAACCTACATTTGGCATCCAGAAAGCTCAGTGTCAAGCAAGGTTAGCTGCTGCTAAAACTCCAGATGAGTATAGAAGAATCTGCCAAGAGATGTGTCAACATCTTTCTTCAGGATCAGATTCTCCAGTAAAACCCTCAGCAGGCAGACTGTTCCAGTAAAAAGAAAAAGATTTTCATAAATTATGATTACTATAGGCCTCGGAGACTTAAGCTTACCTGGGCTCTAATATCGATCCAGCCCACGGTTTGGGTCGTGACAATTAGGTTCCTAAAATGCCTACTAAGTTTGTGAATTGACAAAAATATTATGGAGCATTTTAATTTTATTGGTTGAAAAAAATAAAAGTAATTCATTTTGATTGATTATGTTAATTTCCTATTTGAATTTAAATTCTATTGGATAAAATAATAAGAAATTACAAGATATATATATTAAATAAGGTTTACTGTCACGACCCGATTCCATGGGCCGGACCGGCACTAGGGCCTAGGTAAGCTTAAGGCCCCCGAGGCCCGTAGTAAGCCTGAAACACTAACATTTCTATCTCAATATAATTATATCATCTATGTTAATACATGAGTTCAAACACTTGCTCAAAATCTACAACTTTTATATTTTAACTAAAATCTAATGTTCAAGACAGGTGCAGGACCAAAGAACTGTCATAAAATAGTGCAAAAGAAGTAGAATAGTAAAGATTCTTTTCTATGTTATTTTAAAGGAAAGTGAGTGTCCTCCTGTAGAAGTCATAGCTGGTGCTATAACAATATACTACAACACCTCTCTTCACTCTCCCCAAAAAGTATTCTTTGTAAGCATACAACGTTCGAAGTTCTATGGATTTAAAACTTATTAATAATTGTATAATTAAATTGTATTCATTATTTGAAATAAGTTATTATTTAAATTTATTAAATTGTTGACTACTAATCCCTTTAAAAGGCTTTATATCTTCTTTCTCCCTCCATCAATACTGATCTTAGTTCTGGGATTCCAGGCTAAGGTTGCAGGAACCCTCAACCTTAATTAAAATATTTATTAATTAAAGAGAGTTTGTGAGTTAATGATAAATACTATTTTGTATAAGTATGCTCTGTGGTTCAGCCTTCTTCGAACAAAGCTTTGTGGATCTTTCCACATCAAAGTGTGATCTTCCACATCAGAAATATTGTTCATAAACATATACTGTTCATTAACTGTTCAGATTAAAACGGATACTGTTTATCTTTAAACAACTACTGTTCAAGCGAGAGGGGATTACAGCCCAATATTTAAGCGAGAGGGGATTAGCCCGAAGGTCTAAGCGAGAGGGGATTGGTTACCCGCACCTCAGGATCGTGACAACTTGCGGTACCACTTAATTCTACGTACCATATGAATTATATTCATGTTTTTGTAAATTTAAGAGAAAATAATATTTTGATTACAATATATAAT